CACAGGGTAGACTGGGTGCCCCAAATCGCCCGTCTTGTTCCACCAAGTGTGCCCGTAGACGTATACATGTTACTTCATAGTTACATCGGCCGGTCTGTCTTCAGTCTTTTCGGTGTTGTTCCTTTTAGAACCCTGCTAGACCACCGAACAACCCCGCACCCGAAACCACCCCGCACCTTCCGTGTCCGCGCGGAAAACCCCGCACCGCCGCGGATGAAACCGACACCGCGGACACCGCGTGACGCCGCACCCCGGGTGACCCCGCGCCTCGGTGCCGCGCTGCACTGGACAGCCTTGGTCCTGGGCGATCTCATACAACGCCCTCGGCGCGCGGAGGCTGGGCGAGCAGTCAGCGGTCAGCGTTTCGGAGACCGGTCGTGCCGATGTCTCGGGCCCTGGTGCGACGTGCAACGAATCGCTGGAGTGCCAGGGCTTTGCGCAGCTTTGGAAGACACCTACAGTACAGACTACAGAGTTGAACTGGATGAAGATGGATGAAGTACCTTACAATACAGCTGACTTTCGTCTCCATGGGGCCCTTTGGATGGTCCTGGAAGACCATTGTTTGTTGCTCATCTTTGTGTCAGTTCTCTTCTCCTCCACTCCCTCTTCCACACCAACAACAACACACGCGCAGAAACGGGTTTACGTGCAGTTCGGGCATGGACTAATGATGGGGATCCCTGCTTCATGGGGGGGTCATTCTCACCACCACCTTGTACGATGCTAGTGATGCCACTGTTCTCTCTCATATAGCAACGAACGATCGTCCTTTAAAGGTCATTGACACCGCCTGGCGCTCATCGAAGCAGGATCGCCGGACGGCTCACGAACGGCTCTAGGGGTCACGGAGATGGGCGATCGCCTGTATTCGAACGAGTGGCGTTGGTTTTTCACAAGCTAGCTAGCAGGAGGGGTGCCATGGAGAAAGTGGCCAAGTGCCAAGCGCCCTCACTCAAAACCCCCCGATCTACTCCTCTTGTTTGAGCCGATTTGCGCACAAAAAAGGGAATTTGCAGGGGAAACAAAACAACCAACAATGCCAGGTCACGTGGGACTCGGATGTTCGTGAGAACCTGCCACCCAATAGCTTCGGTTAGCCAGATTTCTAACTATTAGGTTGTATAGACTATTTGGTAAGAAAACAGACTAAATAGTTTAAACGTGTTTTGACTAATAGGTTTATAGCTCTTTCTGACTATTAGTTTGTTTAATGGAACAACCTGAAAAGTACACCTAGTAAGCACATAAAAGTTTTGGCAAAACAAATGTCAAGCAAAAAATGTAACAACATTTTTGTTCTTGTACAATTGTTTGGCTACTATTCTCTGTTCTGAAAATGATTCTTCTAGTCTACAGAAGGAAAACTGAAGCCCATGCCAAAGTGAGCCTGTGTAGATAGAAGGTGAGTCTAATGTCAAAGTGAATCTTGAATGATTGTCTTCCCAAATGGATCATCCTTTGCCATGGCTGCAGACAAAGGGCTCTGAGGCAAAAACCTAGAAGTCAGTCGAGCTGGTGGAGGGGACAAAAAACTTTCAGGTTCAAAGGCTGGCTTCAAGCCAGGCATTGAACCTTGTAGACATTTGAAAGGTTCATAGTGACGAAATGCGACACACATTGTGGCATTGTCATGTGACATTGGAAAGAACCATGTGCTGGAAGCAGTGCTGAAAATTAACGCACATGAACATCTTCCAAAAGTCCAAAAGTGAACATCTGCAAAAAGAAACCTTGCGTTTGCACAGTGCCAATGTGTTTGTCACATTCCTTTTTTCAATCACCAAAGAAGGTGTTGGAATATCAAGTGATCCTTAAAACTCAAATGAAACTCTCATTAAACATCGCAATGTGAATCTTCCAAGTGAATCTGGATTTAATTCTTTACCTCCATAGACTTTGCGCATTTTTGGTGAATGCTTTATCTCAACCTTTTTTGGAACCTTCCTTCCAAGACAAAAGCCTGGGCTTTTCCAAACCCAGGGAGTAAATCAATAGATTGTTCATCATAAGCTGTTGCAAGTCTAAGAAAACCACCTGAAAGAAAGATGAAACTGCACATAAATGCAACAAAAATGTTACGAAGCAAATACAAAAAAATGCGAAATTCAGAATGAAAATCATCAAAACATATCTAAAATCAGTGAACTGTAGTGTAGGTTTGGTGTAAGATTGATGTAAACTTACACTGAAACTTACACTCCATAGTGCAAGTTTAGTGTAAGTTTGGTGCAAACTTACATCAAATTTACACATCAACAGTGTAACTTTACACTAATGTTACATTCCCGAGTGTAATGTAAACTTACACTTCACAGTGTAAGTTTACACTTCTGTGTGTAACTTTGATGTAAACTTACACTCCAGGTGTGTAAGTTTCAGTGTAAGTTTGCACCACACCTACACTAAACTTACACTATGGAGTGTAAGTTTTAGTGTAAGTTTACATCAAGCTTACACCAAACTTACACTCCAGTTCATTGATTTTAGGTATGTTTTGATGACTATCATTGTGAATTTTGTATTTTTGTATTTGATTTGTAACATTTTTGTTGCATTTATGTGCAGTTTCATCGTTCTTTGACTTATCTCCTTTGCACATGGATCATCTCCTTCAGCAAGAGGTGCACTCTTCCAGTCAACTCTCTTGCAAGACTTGGAGGGCCCCAACACAGCCAACAAATCTTTTGTGGGCTGTGTCTTCAAGAAGTTGACAAAGACTGCTTGCAGCTCTCGGACCCCAACATTGGGATCAGCCACCAGTCTTTTCTGAGACACCTTGGGCCACAACACACTGGGTCAAACACATTGGAGGTGTGAAGGTCTTGTGCGCATGTGTGAACTTGCCTTTTCCGAAGTGAACAGCATCATTGCTGATGAACTACAGTGGTTCATTTACTATGAATTTTTTGGGTGTGATTCTGTCTTTGTTGAATGAAAGCCTTGGCTGAACCTTTGAAGTGAATCTTTACTCTGATTCTTTTGTGGAATGAACCTGCCTTTGTTCTGAGTGAAAGACAAAGGTGAATCTTTTTTCTGACTGAAGCACCTCTGGCTCTGATTTTGTTTTAAAGTGAATCTGTGTGCTCCCACCCACAGTCTAAGGTGAATCAAGGTGAATCCTGTATCCAGATCTTTTTTGAGAAGTGAACCTGGCTGCTCTGAGTAAAAGCACGAGGTGAATATTTAAGGTGAATATGTTATTCTGGTCAACTTGTTGAGGTGAATTTGTGTTTGTGTGTCAGGAAAATCATAAGTGAATCTTTTAGGGTGATACCTTATGTGAAGAGTGTCGTGCTTTTGGCAAGAGCATTTTGAACAAAATAGGATCAAAAATCATTTGAAGAAAACACAAACCTTTTAGGTTAATCAATTGAACAACCTTACATGTTTAGTTTATTTGACCTTTCAAACTATTAGTTAAAACCATTGTTCTGACCAATAGTTTAATCATCTGTTTTAACTAATAGTTAAGAAACAGTATATAGACTAATAGCTAGAAATCTGCCTAACCGAAGCTATTGGGCAATTCCCTGGAAGCGATCCTTGGTCCATGCCGTTCGCCCAGTTCCATGTGGGTCTTGGAACCCGGGTTGTGGAGATCTGCACATCTTGGGTGGGTGAACGGGCTTGAGATGAGCGGCCGCTGAGCGGCCGCTCTTCTCGACTCGGAGGAGCCTCCCAACGATGCCTCCCAACGGTTCCATTTTCCTTGCGGGGAATTGGTCCCACCGAATCCATTGCGAAAGAAATGCACCCTCGTGGTTCCAGCTCAGCCTGGAACGAGGCAGTCGAAAAAAAAGGAACCGAGTCATGGGCGTGTCAATAGTTAATGAAGGGAGCTCCCCTGGCCCAACAGGGAGATCCCCTGGTCGAGTTGTCCGAAACCGAAACCAGAAGGTCGGGACGCCGTTCAGTCTCTCATGTCTTGAGCTATACAAATCATATACCAGGACCCGACACCGTGGGGTGTCTATGCATAGCCCCTTAGCTGTGATTCGGGGTGTCCATTCACCACCCCTGCGGGTCCTGGTATGTCAATGTCGACATAGTCTCGCGTCACGTCTCACCCCTCCCCACATCTCAGTCGGTCAGTCACCACACACCGAGCTCCTGACTGCTTGCCGTAACGGTCCAACAGGATTGAACCAAAGATGGCCATGATCACCACGTAAAGCCTCCAGAGAAGCACGTGGGCACCTTTTGTGGCCGGAAAAGGCGAACTCACCCCACGGTGGCCGGAAAAGGGACGAACCCCCCCCCCTCGCGGTGGCCGATTAGGGGCAGCCATGAAGTGAGGAAGTTCCGAATGATATTAGATGAGTTACTTGTTAATGTGGTCTTGATGAATAAACCCACGCAGTTGAATTAAGAGACCATCCTTATATGGGGGTCTTATTAATCAAGAGTCTACATATTGGCACGGAACATCGACCAGTCCACAGTCTAATTCAGTGGGCTGGCTGAGGGCACCACACCCGAATCTCAGCCCTTCCAACCACCCGAATCTCACGGTGAGTACCGATCCACCCGTCTTTGTAACACCAGGTCCACCAGGACACCCCGACAGGTCGAAAGGACTTGGCAGATTCCGATGATTCAGATCCTGGTGGAGTTGCTCCACCGGTTCGCCGTGATGGTTCAACCTCCGCCCGCCATCACCGCCATCACCGCTCTCTCCGTCCCCTCAAGGGATGACCGATCCTCAGGTCTCTTTGGTCCCCTGAATGAGGTCACTGAAAGTGTGACGAATGCAAGTACATCACCCAGAAGCTCTCCCTGAATCTACTTTCGTACCACCACCTCCTCCTGGCTCCCTTCTTCTCGTACCACCCGGGGGCTCTCCCTCCTTCTTTTCCGCACGCCTCACCCACCGATGGATCCGGATGGGACGGGGACGGGACGAGTCTGAGACGGGACGGGGCGGGTGTATTCGAAGAGAAAGACCCGGCTAGCAGCCAGTCTACTGTAATGACAGTATATAGTCTACTAGAGTTTTTCTCCCTACTTTAAGACAGCAAGATCACTTTCTTGAGTCCACGGGGATCCATTAAAAACAACAGGACGGGCGGCTGTGGCGGCGGAGCGGGTCCCGCTGCGCGCGGGAGTGTGGTGGGGGGGGACGGGGAGATCCATATCTGGATCATCCTGGATCTATGCCATATGCATGCATACATGATCTTCCAACTATGCACAATATCCTGCCTGTTCATCCAAAAACACTGCAGATCGGAGGCCAAACATGTTCGGTCAGAGTAAGAAGGGTTCCTCCAGCTTCAGCCGAGAGCTTTTGGCACCTCTTGGAATTTCTCATGATCAGACTCTTGATGAGTAAACCCCCCCCACACGAAGATGTTTTACCATCCAATCGGGAAGGGAGCCTCTCTAGAGAGGCTCCCTTCTCTGGAGGCCTTTGAGGCTTCAGCCTCTCCTCCTCCAAAACACGGCTTCACTCACCATGCGCCAGCCGCGCGCGAGCCCTCCACGTGGAAACCCACGGGCCGCGCCCGCTCAACTCCGCGTGCCCGGTCCGCGTGCAGGAGCCACACCTCGGCAGGCGATGAGTCCCATCGCCCCGGTCCGCCCGGTCTGTGCCGTCCGGTGGCGTGAGGGTCTGTGGCTCGTGAAATAGACCCTCCAAATGGGAGGTTGTGTTCAAGATCTAAGAGTCTACATGACCCGACCTGCGCTCTTCGCCAGGGAACACCCAAACCCCCCGCACGCTTCCACCCCTCCCGGTCCCTCCCGGTCCGCCCCGGTAGGACCGACCATGGAGGACCACGCAGCTGACCCGAGGAACTGGCCAGGGCACCGAGGAGAAGAGCGTGCAGGAACTGGCCAGGAACCAGAGGAGGTACGAGAAGGAATAGTTCACAATGACCACTACAAAGCTCCCAGCCCAAAGACCTGAATCTCCCACGAAGCTCAGAAGCTCTGTACAGTCACGATGCGATGTGCCCAGAGCCCTGCATCGGGGTGGTTCAGGGTACCAGTGGCCCTCAAACCTATGAAACATCCAGGTGTTTCACAAAACTCATGTTTCTGCTAGGGAAAAAAACGAGGTTTTGTGATGGCCTTGTGGGGGCCCCTGCTAGGATCTGGAAGCCCGCGCGGTGCCTGGGATGTGCATCCGCCCTCTTCGAGAAAACCCTTCGCCCGCGGCCTCCAGCAGCGGTCAAAAAAAAAGATTCGGGGGAAGAAGTACAGGGGCCGGGGGCCGAACATGACATCGTGTGAACCTACAATTTGAGATGGCTCCTCAATGTCATGAGGAAACCACCTTGTTGTTTGGTGAGTTTGAGGCAAAAAGCAGAAGTAACCCAACAAATCACCCGCCTGGTCAGCCTCCCGATGTCCTCTATGGGAACAATAGAGGGGTCGGTTTGGTACCATAGATACCAATTGGATCCAATTGGTTTATCCCCTCCATGCATCAACCAACCAACACTAAAAGGCCATCTATGCTCCAAACCGTGAAAACCTTCATCCTTGTAGCTCATAAGAACTCTGTCCAGCCCCTTGCACTGGACCTCACCCCACAATTAAACACCCCAACCTCGGTCGCAGCTCAGGCGCCAAAAAAGATATTCATCGCAAAGATCAGCGTGCCCGTCAGGCTTGACAAACTAAGCATGCGAAGCCAAAATGAGGTGGCCCAACATGAGAAGCCCGCCACCTGGTAGGCGATCCGAAGTGCCAAGGGGAGAAGGATGATCACGTAGGTGGGCGACACGATGATATCCATCCTCAGATTCACTCCGGTCCTCACTCAAAACATGCCCAAAGAAGCAGGCCGTTTTTGCCGGGTTAAGCTGTGGTCCGGTCCTTGTCAGGGGTCACTTGATCTGGTGGCAAGGGCGGGTGTCTCTTCCCTTGCGGCGGGGCGGCAGATGCTGCAGGCAGCACGCGGCAAATCCTTAAACCGTCTTTCCATGCACCGACCTCGTAAACAGGTAGAGATAGCCGATGGCGTCTTTTCCCGCTGACGTGCGGTCCCTCTAGCATCCAAAACGAACAAATGCCTCTGCTTCAACCAAACTGCAGAAGAACAACGTCTCACCTGGCCATGGCATGCCATGGAGTGCTGTGGGAGTTCCTCCAATCTGGAGCCTTCGCATTCGCGGAATACAACACAACGGAATGAGAGCATTGGCAAGCAAAGGCCCACGGGGGCAAGCTACTATTTGTTCTTGGAACTGGAGGGACAGGCAGGCTGAAAGCGTTTGGAGGGACAAACCACTGCCAAGGATCAAGGCGTTAATGAGCATGTACTGGGGCAGAGAAGGATAACCCAAAGCTGAAGCAGAGGCCTCGCAATCCTGATGTCCATTGCACCCCAAGAAGAAGGTCAGAGACAGGAGGAACCCTGGCATGCAACTGACCAGACAGAGTTTCAAGGAGACATCCACCTCTCTCCCAAGCAAACCTAGCACTTTCTCACGCAGGGAGCCCCGAATGTAGCCATTGAATTGCTCCATGACTTCGTCCGGTGTCGGATAGCTGGTGACATGCCGAATGACCTGCATCGTCTCACGGGACACCAGCGGATACAGCGTCTCTTCCTCCGGCGCGAGAGTCTCCTTGTTCTCCCCCGCATGGTTGGACCCCCCGTCCTCGTGGATGGTCTCAAAAAACACCGACACGGGCGGTTCGAAGGCCTCATCAAAGAGGTCGATGATTTGCTGTTCAATCACCTCCCGGTCCGAGTTCAGAGAGCAGCTGGCGCAGCGCAGCTCGAAGGCGGCCATCTGATCCAACATGAGCTTGTGGCGGGTCAGTTTCTCCAAGCAAAAATAGGCCAATGGGATGGCCACAATGAAGCACTGAAACCAATCCAAGTAGTAATACATTAACATTGACCATACCAG